GTCTGGGGGTGGACAAATTAAAGTTAATCTACTTAGCCACGGTGTCTGCCTGCCATTACCAAACTGCTACCGTGTTTCCCCGAAAATAAGACCTATCCATACAATAGGCCCCAGCAGGATTTCTAAGCATGTGTGCCATAGAAGCCCTACCCCGAAAATAAGTCCTAGTGATGGGCATGGCTATGCAAATCAGCCCTAGTGATGGGCATGGTTGTGAAAATCAGCCCTAGTGATGGGCGTGGCTATGAAAATGAGCCCTAGTGACGGGCATGGCTGCGCAGTGCATCTGCACAACCCATGCGTGTCCTCGCGGAGCGGGAAAGAACATGAGCAGCCCTTCTCATCCGCCCCGTGAGAGCTCTAGTGCTCCACAGGAGAGATCGGGGCCAGTGGTTCTAAAGGAAATAGAGTCACAAGACATTCGGGATGGGATTCGGGGTTTGGAGAGTGAGGATGATGTTCCAGAAGACGACGACTTCACTCTATTTGAATCAATGGAGATGGTTGTACCGTACTTAAAAAAAAATAGCACGTCCCCTGAAAATAAGCCCTAGGGTGTCTTCTTGAGGAAAAATAAACATAAGACCCCATCTTATTTCCAGGGAAACACAGTACTTGAATTATTGCTAAGGAGATTTTTAACCGCCTTACTTTTACCATATCAGACAGGATCTATTGCTACCAAATTTAAAACTCATGCACAACTTTTTAAAACTTTTTTTAAAAAAAGGGAACCCCATAATTTAACATCACCCAGTGAGTCAATTCTCAAACATTGATAGAGTACTTCCTACGCTAGACCATTTGCTGGGTGCTGAGAGAGAAAGGAAAACCAGAAGAGACTCCATCCTCGCTTCCATCCAAACTGAGTATTCAAACTGAGACTCCCGCCAACGTTTGCTCCGGCAGAAACAGGCGGTGCAAGCAACTTCGAGGTGTTTATTAATTTTGAGTCACCACCTTAGAAACCTCAAAAATGAAAACACATGCTGCTGCTGTCTTACCGCTACAGTGGATACCTTTGGTATTTCACTTTTGGCTTTTCCCTGAGATTACTATTTATGCTTCTTGATAACCAAACCACTTCTTTTTTTGTTGTTGTTTATTTATTTATTTTGAGACAGAGTCTCACTCTGTTGCCCAGGCTAGAGTGAGTGCCGTGGCCTCAGCCTAGCTCACAGCAACCTCAGACTCCTGGGCTCAAGAGATCCTCCTGCCTCAGCCTCCTCCCAAGTAGCTGGGACTACAGGCATGCGCCACCAAGCCCGGCTAATTTTTTTCTATATATATTAGTTGGCCAATTAATTTCTTTCTATTTATAGTAGAGGCAGGGTCTCCTTTTTGCTCAGGCTGGTCTCGAACTCCTGACCTCGAGCGATCCTCCCGCCTCTTGGCCTCCCAGAGTGCCAGGATGACAGGCGTGAGCCGCCGCGCCTGGCCTAAAGCACTTCTTCATATAAATGCTTGATGTCTAGCATTTGCTGCTTTTGTTTTATTGTGTTCCATTATTTCCCCCGATAGTTTATCCAAAACTTGGAGGAAATAATGGAAAGGAATAAAACGAAAGCAGCAAATGCTACCAAAGGTGAAGGCGTAAATCTAGGCAAGAGGGATCCCACGTCAAATCCAGGACAGCTTGTGCTGTTTTTCCTTCATCATCATAGGGTCCTAGCTCTGATTTCCTTTAAATGTAGGAGAAGTCATGCATCACGCGTGACCCACGTGACCGACAAAGGCATAAACGCTGTCCCTTTTACATGGCTGGCTTCTCGGTCTCACCAAGATGCCTAATTATCAGGTATTCTCTGCTCTGCTCTTTTCATCACAGTGACTATTTCAAGCAGTTGTATCATCACTTGTCCTGTTCTGTCTTCCACCTTAAATTACTTTAAAATAGTTAACAGGTCATTTGGCCCACATCTTATTATTATTATTATTTTTAACTTCTACTTTACGCTGTATTCCTAACAAATCCTCTCCCCTTTCCCAAATATAATAAGCACACGTGATCGTAGCCATGAAAAAGAAAAAGATACCCTGGGAATTTAAATTTTCATCCCAGAAGTCAGGAAATTAAAAAAAATAAAATAAAAATCTGTCCTAGTAGGAATGGCTACTTTGTGTGTTCAATGGCACTCAACCTTTTTTTTTTAAGAGTCAAAAACACATATTAGCACAGGAAGTTAAAGCAGACGTACGATGCTCAATGTACAAAACACTTAGACACGAACGAGCTGAAGTCGTTGGGCAACCTGCCCACATAACACTGTTGCAAAGTGGCTTTTCTGTCTCACGGTATTAAGCAAATCGTCTAGAAATTTCTTTTAACTGTCACAGATGCAACGAAGCTCGAATCAATTTAATTCAATATGGTTCGAGACAGTGTACATGGTATTAAAGGACAAGAGTGATGAGGAATCCTTTAACCTCGGGAAGATAAACTATTTCCACAGCTATCCGAATACGAAATAAAATGCTACAAGATAAATGAGTTATTAAAGAAGTTTTTTCTTTTAAAAAAAAAAATAAAGGCATAATTTTACTTACATCAAGAGAACCTTCATTTATGACAATCATTCCCATGTTCTTCTTCAAAAGTTTGCAGGAGTGCCCTACGTCCAAACAGAGTAAATCAGTTGATATAATTAATCTCTCCAGAGAAAACCTATAAAGATGTTAAAGTAGTAATAGTACGTACTAACAAAATATCTAAAGATGGACTCATCAGGAGGGATGGCAGCCAGATAAACACGAAATGCTCTTGCTAGCTAAAGGATGGAATATGTTACGAGGACAACATCTGGCTTGTTAATGCTATCTGGATGAAAAATACAAAGAGAGATTGTAAATATTCTCAACATCCTGAAAGCTGACAGATGTCCACAGGATGCCCTTCGTGATGACTGACATGAAGAGTAAAAGACGGGCCAACGACCGTTTCCAGAGAAGGGTGCAGGCAGGCAGGTACCGTGTTTCCCCGAAAATAAGACAGGGTCTTGTATTTATTTTTCCTCAAGAAGACACCCTAAGGGTTATTTTCAGGGGATGTGTTATTTTTTTTTAAGAACGGTACAACCATCTCCACTGATTCAAATAGAGTGAAGTCGTCTTCTTCTGGAACATCATCCTCACTCTCCAAACCCTGAATCCCATCCTGAATGTCTTGCGACTCTGTTTCCTTTAGAACCACTGGCCCCGATCTCTCCTGTGGAGCACTAGAGCTCTCACAGGGCGGATGAGAAGGGCTGCTCGTGTTCTTTCCCGCTCTGCGACAACACGCATGGGTTGTGCAGATGCGCTGCGCAGCCACGCCCGTCACTAGGGCTGATTTTCATAGCCACGCCCATCTAGGGCTGATTTTCATAGCCACGCCCATCACTAGGGCTGATTTTCATGGCCACGCCCATCACCAGGGCTGATTTTCATAGCCACGCCCATCACTAGGGCTGATTTTCATAGCCACGCCCACCACCAGGGCTGATTTTCATAGCCAAGCCCATCACTAGGGCTGATTTTCGGGGTAGGGCTTCTATTGTGCACATGCTTAGAAATCCTGCTAGGGCTTACTTTATGGGTAGGTCTTATTTTTGGGGGAAACATGGCATTTTGCTCACATATCACTCTTTATCCATTTGCAGTCTTACCATTTTACTGTATTTGTGTTTTTACATCTCCCAATTCTAACGCGATCTGCATTTATCTTAATACCCTTCTCATCTTCTTTCCATTTTTGTCTCTAACATCAGTGACAATTTTTACAATCAAAATCAACAACATGTGTGGCATGTAGATTTAAAGTTCTACTGGCTGGTTTTATAAAACAAAAATCAATTTTCTATTAATAACATCAATTTACTATGAATTTGCAGTAGACCTGTTTTTGTAGGCTACTTTAGGAGACTGCTAACACTTCTAAAATAAATATTAGCTGGATTTTTAAAAATAGAGAACACTTAAAAATGACTTCCTGAAAATGTAGTTTCACGCTGTGAAAACCCCTGAAATGTTTTTTTTCCAACGATGGGGAGTTTTTATATGTAATATACGTGATGAATGTCAAGAGGCTGAATGTTACAGTTTACAGTGCTCGAAAATAAGACCTACCCATAACATAAGCCCCAGCAGGATTTCTAAGCATGTGCGCAATAAAAGCCCCACCCCGAAAATCAGCCCTAGTGACGGGCGATGGGCTGCGCAGCGCATATGCAACAACCCGATGCGTGTGTCGGTCGCGGAGCGGGGAAAGGAACACGAGCAGGCCCTTCTAAGCATCCGCCCGGTGCGAGAGGCTCTTAGTGCTCCACAGGGAGAGATCGCGGGCCAGTGGTTCTAAGAAGGAAACAAGTCGCACAAGACGCACTCCAGGATGGAGATTCAGGGTTTGGGAGAGGTGAGGATGATGTTACAGAAGAAGATGACTAACTCTATTGGAAGTCGATGAGCATGGGCTGTACTGTACTTAAAAAAAATAACAGCACTCCGCTGAAAAGTACAGCGCTAGTGGGTGTTTCGTTGAGAAAATAAATAAATAAATGACCGCTGCCTTATGTTTGTGTGGAACAGGTGATATTACTGAATTTTTGGGGAAAAGGATAGTTTTTGTTCTATGTTGTTTGAGGGGTTATTATGGCACACAGTCTTTCTAACACCAGAATACGTAACTTTCTTTCTCAAGGAAACACTTCGGTGCTTGGTGGCTGGAATGTGTGTCGTTTGCTCCCAATTTATACTTCTGAGTCTAAGCCCAGGTGACTGCATCTGGACACAGGACTCTAAGGAGGCTTACTAGAGATTCAGAATGGAGGGTCAAAGGATGGGGCCAGCTTATGGTGTCTGAGTGCTTGCGTTCCTGGCAAAAGCTCACGGTGTCAAAACCTAATAACCAGTGAGAGAAGACGGAGAAGCAGGGGGCGTCTTTGGGAGTGCTCAGGTCAAGAAGGCAGAGACCCATGATGGGGCTGGGATTCGGCCCTGCTAAAAAAGGCCCGCAGGAGCCGGCGTGGTTGGGTGTCTCACGGCCTGTCATCCAGCACTATGGGGAGACCGAGGCGGGTGGGATTCGGCTCGAGGTCAGGAAGTTCGAGACCAGGCCTGAGCAAGAGCGAGACCCATCTCTACTATAAATAGAAAGAAATTAATTTGGCCAACTAATATTTATATAGAAAAAATTAGCGAGGCATGGTGGCGCATGGCCTGTAGTCCCAGCTACTCGGGGAGGCTGGAGGCAGGAGGATCGCTTGGAGCCAGGAGTTGGGAGGTTGCTGTGAGCGAGGCTTTTGACGCCAGGGCACTTCACCTAGCCTGCGGCGGACAAAGCAAGACTCTGTCTCAAAAATAAAAAAAAAGGTATTGAACTTCACTCATAGATGAACGCAAACTGGCAACCTCTCTTACTTGCTTTCTTCAAGGAAGCAACTTTGGTCCACACCAGTAAGGTCCACAACACAAGTCTGCCATCAGCCCCATCTCCAGGATTGTCACAGACAACTGCAGAAAATGTTATCTACGGGTGCAGCTCTTAAGGACGGAATACGGAGTAGAAAGAGATGCAAGATGGACAGAAGGCACCGTGCAGTTCTAAGAGCTGAAGTTTAGCTGGGTATAAAAACCACTGCAACTTAACGGGATACTGGGGCCATAAGCAAATAGGTGTAAGTGTAATATTACTATAAATCTGGAATCCCGAATATCGAGTCTTTCAAATGTAAAAACGTCTCCATCCATCTTCCAAAATGTATCAACCGCTTGATTTTGATTCATTGCACATTATTTGCTTGTATAAAAATATTCACATGTACCCCCCACCCCACCACATGGTACAACTACGTACATCTATAATTTAAAAAAATTAAAAACATATCAACCGCCAGGCGGGCTGGATTCTCAAGCAAGGTCAAGAGTTCAAGACCAGCCTGAGCAAGAGGGACCCTGTCTCTACTATAAAAAAATTAGAAAGAAATTAACTGGCCAACTAATATATATATATAAAAAATGAGGCTGGGCTTGTGGTGCATGCCTGTGGGTCCAGCTACTCGGGAGGGCTGAGGCAGGAGGATCGCTTGAGCCAGGAGTCTGGAGGTTGCTGTGGCAGCTGGGCTGACGCCACGGCACTCCACTCTAGCCTGGGCAAGCAAGCGGAGACTCTGTCTCAAAAAAAAAAAAAAAAAAAAAAAAAAAAAACCACCGCCACCAACAAACATATCAACCTATTAAAAAGGCACCAGATTTACGTTCAGAGTCAGGTGAATTACCGATGTTGATGGCAGTCTCTTGCTTGTCCCCCGTGAGAATCCAGATTTTGATGTCTGCTTTCATCAGCGTTTCTATGGTTTCGGGCACTTGATCTTGTAATTTGTCCTCAATGGCCGTAGCTCCGAGTAGCTGAAGATTCTGGAGAAAAATGAGAATTTTAAGAAGAAAACCAGTTTAGAATCCTTAACAACAACAACAAAAACACCCCAAAGTGTGTCTTATATTTTAAAATCAGAGACTAAATGACAACTACTGGACGCCAGTGCAAATTCCAACCACGCCACTGAGTTTTCTCGCTTAGGGATCCTTGACTTTCTTCCAGTCTTCAGGCATGAGACAGAGGTTCCCCGAA